CGTTTGTAAGCGCTGACTGAAGTATTGGATGACCTTGAGGCAGCTGGCCTTGAACAGGGACGCCGGACAAAGCAATGTCCGGCGGCGGACACAACGTCATTGGTATAATAATTATAATAATAGGGTTAATCCGAGTGAATGATAATGCTGAGCCACGCCGGATCGCGTGCCTGCCAAAAAATCGTTTAGGCATTGCAAGCCCGGCCCTAAGGACCCTGGTGTAACAGACTTTGTTTTATACAGACCCACTTCTCATTTTTAGTCTGTCACACTCACGAAAGAGAAGATCAAAGTCGATGAGGTCAAGTGCTTGAAAATGGCCGAGGTCGCACAGGCTGATCTGGCCCAAGCTATGCCCGCCTTGAATGCTGCCATTGAGGCCCTGGCAGCCCTGAATAAGAAGGATATCAGCGAAATCAAGTCCTACGGCAAACCACCATATTTGGTCCAAAAGGTAACGTTGGTCTTTTTCATTTAACATAGTTACTTTTCGGTATGATGTAGGACAAAATCTAGTGTGTGAAGCCCGTAGCTACCGTAATTAGCGCGTGAGAGTCAGAAGGGATGGTTTTGCGTTATTGGTTTTTTTCCCCTCTGACGAAACCTAACCTGCCCTATTTTCCTACCAATTTCATCCCACAAAAATAGGTAATGGAAGCTGTTATGATCCTTCGAGAATCGGACCCCAGTTGGGCAGAGGCGAAGAAACAGCTTGGCGAACAGGACTTCATTGACCAACTGGTCAACTTTGACAAGGACAACATCAGTGACAAGACTCTGAAAAAGATCAGCAATTACTGCGCTCAGGACGATTTCATGCCAGACGTGGTCGGCAAGGTGTGTGTCTGTCTGCTTACTACTGGGTTTGTACACTTCCCTTGCGATGTGTGATATTTTCGCTGAGGATGATGAGAAGATATATCGAGGGGTGTTAAGGCTAATATGGTTTAACCCTGACGTCTGCGATCATCCAGGCCCGGTTCCTTAGGAGAGGAGAGAAGTCATGGGATGGTCAGAGTGATAGGAAGAGTGTATTCTGTACAGACGGAAAGGAGAATAGTTAGGACGAAGTTCTGACTGCCGAATCGCACGTCCTTCCGCTAGAGCGGCGTGGTCCAAACTGATGTCACCACATTGAGGTCTGTCCAGACAGGTTGAGACCAACCTACTAATGAGGCTATTCTAGTAACGCGGACATCTCATTGCACGGATTTTGGTCACGACGGGAAGGCAAGTACGGGGGAGACACGGTGCGTGCGTTCGGCCCCGCGTCCGTTTGCGTCTGGCCCGAAGCACGCCGAAAACTGAATTCGCGCATGCTCCGAGTGTCCTCGTCTG